ACCAAATCAATACCATTTACAATAGCCCCCAGGAAGATAAAATACTTAGGAACAGAACAGGCTGCATAAGCTCAATTACCACCATTGCTTCCCACCATTACCAGCCCCCGCTTTTCCTCGTAATATTTTCTTTTTGCCACCCTTGGAGGGTGGCAGAACAAATTGATAACCCTCAAGGACTAGGATTAACTCATCTGCTACTTGACAATCGTGACTAATGGTGCCAGATAACCTTCAAGGTTGCCAGTAAGAAGTTAGATCTGAGACATGAGAAACGTGACTGCCAGAAGAGAAACTATAATCCTGTCCATATAAAAACTTTCAGCCAGTCTCCAGCCAGTCTCCAGTCAGGGAGACAGGTCTTTTGGAGGAGCTCATTCCCCTCTGTCTCCTGTATACCTATACAATAAAACCCTCTTGCTGCTCACCTCACCCCTGTCTCAGCATTGGCTTTTGCGGCAGGTGGCTCAAACCCATGATTTGCGGTAACAGGAATAAATCTAACCAGAGATGTAAGAGACATGAATGATAACTACAAGACACTACTGCAAGAAACAAAAAGGAGACCTATATAAGTGGAAAGACATACCTTACTCATGGATAAGAGGACTCAACACTGTGAAAATGTCAATTCCACCCAAAACAACCTACAGATACAATGCAATCCCAATCCAAATTCCAAGGACATTTTTTAATGAGATGGAGAAACAAATCACCAACTTCATATGGAAAGTGAAGAGGCCCCTGATAAGTAAAGCATTACTGAAGAAGAAGGACAAAGTGGGAGACCTCACACAACCTGATTTTAGAACCTATTATACTGCCACAGTAGTCAAAACAGCTTGATACTGGTACAACAACAGATACATAGACCAATGGAGCAGAATTGAGAATCCAGACGTAAATTAAACCACCTATGAGCAGCTGATATTTGACAAAGGTCCAAAGTCCATTAAATGGTGAAAAGACAGTCTCTTTAACAAATGGTGCTGGCATAACTGGATATCCATCTGCAAAAAAATTAAACAAGACCCATACCTCACACCATGCACAAAAACTAACTCAAAATGGATCAAAGACCTAAATATAAAATCTAAAACAATAAAGATCATGGAAGAAAAGATAGGGACAACGTTAGGAGCTCTAATTCAGGGCATAAACATAATACAAGACATAACTAACAATGCACACACACCTGAAGAGAAACTAGATAACTGGGTGGGAGCTCCTAAAAATCAAACACTTACGCTCATCAAAAGACTTCACCAAAAGTGTAAAAAGACAACCTACAGACTGGGAAAAAATTATTGGCTATGACAAATCTGATCAGGGTCTAATCTCTAAAATCTACAAGATACTGCAAAACTTCAACCACAAATAGAAAAATAACTCAATTAAAAAATGGGCAACGTATATGAACAGGCACTTCACCACAGAAGACATTCAGGCAGTTAACAGATACTTAAGAAAATGCTCACGATCATTAGCCATTAGAGAAATGTAAATCAAAACTACAATGAAATACCATCTCACCCCAACAAGGCTAATATTAATCCAAAAAACACAAAATAATAAATGTTGGAGAGGTTGTGGAGAAACTGGAACACTTATACACTGCTGGTGGGAATGTAAAATGGAACAACCTCTTTGGAAATTGATTTGGCTCTTCCTTAAAAAGCTAGAAATAGAAGTCCATATGATCCAGCAATCCCACTCCTGGGAATATATCCTAGAGAGATAAGAGCCATCACACGAATAGATATATGCACACTCATGTTCATTGCAGCACTGTTCACAATAGCAAAAAGATGGAAACAACCTAGGTGCCCATCAACAGATGAATGGATAAACAAATTATGGTATATTCGCAAAATGGAATACTATGATGAAAAACAATGATGAATCCACAAAACGTCTCATAACATGGATGAATCTGGAAAGCATTATGCTGAGTGAAATTAGTCATTTGCAAAAGGGCAAATGCTGTATGAGACCATTATTATAAGAACTCAAGAAAAGGTTTAAACACAGAAGAAAACGTTCTTTGATGGTTATGAGGGTGGAGAGGGAGGGAGAGAGGAATTCACTAACTAGATAGTAGACAAAAATTACCTTAGGTGAAGGGAAGGACAACACACAATACCGGAGAAGTCAGCTCAACTTGACTAAATCAAAAGCTAAGAAGTTTCTTGAACACAACCAAACACTTTGAGGGACAGTGTAGCAGGGGCAGGGGTCCGGGGACCATGGTTTCAGGGGACAGCTAAGTCAACTGGCATAACAAAGTTTATTAAGTAAATGTTCTGCATCCCACTTTGGTGAGTGGTGTCTGGGGTCTTAAAAGCAAGCCAATGGCCACCTAAGATGCATCAATATGTCCCAACCCAACTGGAGCAAAGAAGAATGAAGACTACCAAAGACACAAGGAAAATATTTGCCCAAGAGACAAAAGGTGCCACATAAAACAGAGACTCCATCAGCCTGAGACCAGAAGAACTAGATGGTGCCTGGCTACCACAAATAACCACCCTGACAGGGAACACAACAGAGAGTCCCTGATGGCACAGGAGAAAAGTAGGGTGCAGAACTCAAATTCCAGTAAAAAGACCAGACTTAATGGTCTGACTGAGACTGGAGGAACCCCAGAAGACATGGCCCCTGGACTCTCTGTTAATCCAGAACTAAAACCATTCCTAAAGCCAACTCTTCAGACAAAGAATAGACTGGACTGTAAGATATAAAATGATACTCGTGAAGCGGGTGCTTCTTAGTTTAAGTAGATACACAAGACTAAATAGGCAGATCTTGTCTGGAGGTGACATGAAAAAGCAGAAAGGGATAGGAGCTGATAGAATGGACACTGGAAATCTGGGGTATAAAGGAGGACTGTGCTGTCACTTTATAGGGATAGCAACTAGGGTCACATAACAATGTGTGTATAAATGTTTGTATGAGAAACTAACTTGAGCTGTAAACTTTCACCTAAATCACAATAAAAATAAAGAAAAGAATTACAGAGTGTTCCCACACCTGATCTCCAGTGATTTCCTCCCCTACTCATCACTCCAGCTCAAAGCCTTGGGTCTATCAGAATTTCCCTCTCCAGTCTACCTTGGCTCAGGGGAATTCAAGAAACTTCACTAGTAGGCATATTGGACCAGGTTGTGGCCAGAAGAAGTTCAACCCCAAATTAAACTCCCAACTGCCTTGCTGCCTGTTTCCCATCCACCCACCTCCTGCCTTTTCACTCCTTCCTCCTCCCACATCTCGCCTTCTGGAAGGACTTGAGAAGGTCTTTGTGGTCTATTTGTAAAATGTTTCCCAGGAAAGGCAGAGGTGGGGGTCCAGGTGGGAGGTGGCCCCTGGAGGTGGGATGTCCCCAGACCCAGAGTAACAAGAGGCCAGTGAGGCTTAAGAGGAGCAAGAAGGCAGACAGCACCATGGTCCTCAATGTGCCCGCCTTCCATGCTCCTGTCCCCTCTTAAAGGCAGGCTGCTTTGTTTGTTGTTTTGTTTCTGTGGTTTGGGGGAGAGGCCATGCCAGCTGTCTACCTTGGCGCAGAGTTCCTGGGAACTTTCCAGAGGCTACGGGAGCCCCAAGGTAGCAGGCATTGGAGAAGCTAGGAAGTTTAGCGTCTCTAGGTTGGAGTCCAAAGCCGACTTCCCACTGGCTGACTGCAGGCATCTCAGTGGACAGTGCCATTGATTGGAGAGCACTTCCCTCAAGAAAGTGTGGTGATGCAAGCTGGTGGAATGTGTGGAGGTTGAGATTAAGTTGGTATCCCTGCACAGGTGGCTGTCAGCCAGTTTTGTCAGAGGGTAGCATGGTGGTATGAGATCCTAACTGACAGGCAGAATTGGGGGCTTCCTGTGCCCACTGGGAAATAGTTTATTTTGGGCATCAGAAGAGAGTGAGATATGGAGAAGGAGGCAAGGTCTGACTGGGGCTCCAGTTCCATTTTGGGCTTGTGGGGGACTGATTTAGTCATTCTTTCATTCATTCCTCAGCAAATATTTTGAACACCTGTCCTACGTCATGCACTGCTCCAGGTGTTGAGAGTACAGGGATTAACAAGACAACAGCATTGAGGTGAGGGGGAGGGTGTCTCAGGTCCCTGGGGACCTGACAATAAGTGAGTCACACACAAAATAACACAGACACCACCTGGCTCCTGCATGTCATGCTTTGGTTGTTTATTTGATTTTCAGGGAATTAGAAAGGAGCATCAGAGACGACAGGGCACCAGAATCACACAGTGCAGGGGGCATGGGCTGAGGAAGCCTTTTCATGGAGGGAACAAGTAGACAGAGGCAGCTAAGAATAAGGATGTGGAAGGATTCGCAGTTGAAGATGCTGCGAGGAAGAACTTGGGTTCTAGAGCCAGACAGGCAGCCTGTGAATTTTGCTCCTCTGCTCACTAGCGATGTGTCCTTGGAAAACTGATGCCATTCCCTGGCCTCTGTTTACTCATCTATAAAATGGGCATGATCATCACACCACCACATGGGGCTATTAGAAGGAGGATTGGAGTGAGCTCATGTACACAGAGCCCTTTACCACAGCTCATGGAGCACAGGAGTTGACAAATGGAGGCTGTGGTTGTCCTGTGCAAAGGGAGAAGTCACTCAGCATAAGCAGTGTCCTGGGAGGCACAACCGCACAGAGATCCTGAGCCAAGTTTCCCCCTGGAGCCCCAGTCTCTTTATCTACACCAAGGAAAGTGCTGGACTGTGTTTGAGGCTGCTTCCAACTTCTGGAATTCTGTTTCTGGGGAAAAGAAAAGACTTCCTTGAGTCTTTAGAAAAATTGAAGTATGATGGAAAGAGGTGAGACCAAGGAAAGAACTTTCCAAAGGAAGTAACAACTAAGGAGAGGGAAGGGTACTGGCTTGTAGCAGGTCTCTCAGAGGCAGGAAGACTTGGAGGGAGTCAGGGGCCATTCTCTGTAAGTGTAGGGACACTGGATAATCTTGGAATCTTTTGACTCCTTCCCTTCCCCCCTCAGCGGGGCAGGAAGCAGATCTGGTATAAGGGGGGCAGTCTGCCCACACCATTCTCCCGGGGTGTGAGATCGATGCCCTTGGGGGCCACAGGGCTGGCCACAGAGAAGTTCTGGAGGATAGTGGTGAAGAAGAGGAACAATTCGGTCCGGCCGATGCTTTCACCAAGACAAACACGCTTCCCTGTGGGCACAGAGGTGGGAGAGATCACCAATATGGGCATGGGGCATGTGCACATTCAATGGGGGAATCCTTGTCCTGTCACATCCCAAAGCCCAGACACCTGTATCCATTGCCAGGGATTTGCATGGAGTTGACCTTTCATCTGTGGTTCAGGGTGGACTTTTGAGGGTTCCTGAGCCCTTTGAAACTGGAGGCAAATCTTTGAGTGGATGTGCCATGTTCATCTTTCCAGGACAGAGTTTGTAGCTTCTATTAGATTTCCATAGAGGTCAGTGGTCCCAGAGAGGGTGAGGACTCAGGTCTGGCTGTGTGTGTGTGTTTGTGTGTGTGTGTGTCTGTGTGTGTGTGTGTGTGTGGTGCTTCCACATGTGTAGATGTGTGTGTACTTCTGACTTCACATCTTCAATGTTCTTCATTTCTAATGTGGAGATAATGTTTCCTAGCTCTTAGGGCTGTTGTGAGGTTAAAGGAAGGAGCTAATGTTTGTAAAGTTCCTTAGAATACCACATGGCCCATACTAAGGACCCTGGAGCTGGAGCTGTCATTTTGCGTGTGCCGCTGGGTGTGTGCGGGCTGTGTGTATGGTGTGTTGTGGGTGTCTCTGCGTTGAGTGTGTGCCTATGTCTGTCTTCTTGTCTCAGCCTGAGGCTCATGGGCTTCAAGAATTCTGAAAAACCCCAAATTGTATATAAAATTTGGGGGTGAATGGGGGTGATGCACATGAAGAAGGGTTCCACGGCTTTCCTCGGACTCTCAGAGGGATAAGAAACCTCCATTAGATTACAAACCATGGGATTGGAGAGCAATAAGAACAAAGGGAGCCTGAAAACAGAGGCAGAGACACAGAGCAGCTCTCTCCCTTTACTTCTGGGATTCTTATTTTGCAAACTGACCACCTTTGAATGGTCATAACAAGAATAGGTTTCCAGCCCTGGACGCTCTGCTAAAGCAGAACTGAAACCTCTCCCAAAGGCCACTTTCCAGACAAAGATTAAACAAGCGTATAAAAGAAAAAATAACACACATGAGGAACATGCTTCTTAGTTCAATCAAATAAACGAGACGAAAAGGGCAGCTCCTGTCCAAAAGCAGGATGAGCAGGCAAGAAGGGACAGGAACTGGATGAATGGACACCAGGGATCCCAGGTGGAAAGGGGGAGGGTGCTGTCACATCGTGAGGATTGCAACCAATTGCACAAAAGAATATGTGTACAAGTTTTTGAATGATAAATTAACTTGAGCTGTGAACTTTCATCTAAAGTACAAGATGAAATGAAAGGAGGCCATTGGCACTAGGCAGGGCCAGGGTCTGTGTCACTGAAGTCTCCGATGAAACTCAAGACTGGGGATTTGTTTCTGGGGTCTTCCTTTCTCAGAAAGGATGAGAACCCTGGGTGTTGGGATTTTCACTGGATGGGGCCAAAGAGTGGAGAATGGGGTCAGAGACAAGTTAGAGCATGTCAAGCTCCTCCCTTGCTCCCCAGTGCCCACAGAATAAATTCTTATTTCTCCCCCAGCCTTCAGGATGCTCCCCAGCTAAGCTCTTCACCCTAATCCCATCCTGTAAACTATACACTAGGCTCACTGGATTTCTTATAGTTTCCCAAACATACCATGTCGTCTCCACCTTCAGGTCCTTCCTGTTGTCTCTGCCCAGAACATTCTCTCAGTGGTTGACTAATACACACCTACGAGGACTTAGCTGAGAAGCCAAATCCTTAGATAAGCTTTTCTTACTGACCTCCAAGATTAGTTAGTGCTTCCTGCTTTGTGCTGCCAAAGCCCCCAGCTGGACTGTGAATTTCCTGAGGTGAGGACTGTGTCTGTCTATGTGACTTGTTTCATTTGTCATATTCAGTCCCTAATAGAGAGCACTGGGTTCTGAATTGTGCTCAACAGATAATTTTTGAAGCAAATGAATACATTAAGGTTTAAAAAAAAGCAGTTGCCATCAAGTTGATTCCAATTCATGGTGACCTCATAATTGTCAGAATAAAACTGTGCTCCATAGGGTTTTCAATACAGGAGTTTTTGGAAGTGCATATCTAGGCCTTTCTTTTCAGGTGCCTTTGGGTGGACTCAAACCTCCATCCTTTTTGTTAGTAGCCAAGTGCTAATCATTTTCACCACCTAGGGAGAGGTTAAAGTACTTTCCTGGAGTCCTGCTTACCAAGATGTGTCTTTCGGACACAATCTCATGTCTCAGGCCCCCTCGAAGGTTGTAGTGAAAATGGAATGGGATAACGCAGGTAACTGGCATCTAATAAGTGTTCGATAAATGGCCTATTATTGTAAGTCTAGAAGAGGCAATGGATCCTGCACTCTGGTGTCTGGGGAAAGGGGCGTGAGTCCAGCTTACCTATGGAGAAGGGCATAAAAGCTTTGTTCTTCTTCAGAGCCCCATTGGCATCCAGAAAGTGGTCAGGGTTGAAGTCATCTGGTTTTTCAAAGTAATGTGGGTCGTGGAGGGCAGAGCTCAGGATGGGGAATACTTCAGTGCCCTGAGGGAGGGGTAGAAAAAACTCATCAAAAGATTTCACTACCTCTCTGTCCTCCCCACCCTCCAAGAAAAACAACAACAAGGGAAGCTTAGTCATAAAAGAAGTCAAGTTTGGGGATTAACAGAACCCAGGATGTCCACACTGGTGAGATTCAGGAACCCAGCGGACCTCACCTTTGGGATGAAGTACCCTCGGAAGTAAGTGTCTTTGGTGACCATGTGGGGCAAGCTAATGGGGAGGAGGTCCGCAAATCTCTGAATCTCGTGGATGACTGCATCGGTGTATGGCATTTTGGCTCGGTCCTCGAGAGCAGGAGGGCGATGTGAGCCAATCACTTGTTCAATCTCCTTATGGACTTTCTCTGCACAGAAGAAGGGACCAAAGAATCCCTGGTTCACTTCATTGAAGCAGCATTTCAAAGAGGCATTTCAGTGGGGACACTGCTTTCTATGAGTCAATCAGTATGCCAGAGAAAATCTACAGTAAAGGGTTAGGGCATTGACACCCCTCAGGGCAATCAGCTGGAGAGAGGGTGGAGGAGGGAAGCAACAAAGAGCTAACCCTTTGAAATGTTATGGATGCTCTCCTCATATGCACAAGTATATACACACACACACACACACACACACACATGCACACACACATATGCATGTCTTCAATCTAAAGGGAAATCACTTTTGGCTTTCCGTCTGGGTAAATATTATTGTGGATTCAAGGTTATCTATAGAAGAGCTTTTTTGTCAAATTTCTCCCTCTAAGATTAGTAGAAAACAAATTAATATTTACTGTATGTGTTATATGTGAGGCACTGTACTAGGTCCTCAGGAATAGAACAGTGGAATAGATGAATAGATTAATTCTTGCATAGTTAAATAAGTGAATAAATACATCAATCAATCAGTGGATGGATTTATTCATGATTGGAAAGGTTGACAAGTGAACAAATCAATGAATGGATTATGTATTCATGTATCAATCAACAGGTAGATCAATTAATGAATCCTGGATTAATAAAAGATCCATAGACAAATAAATCAATGAACCCAATGAATGAATAATTCAGATAAATGGATGAATGACTTGACTGATGGAGGAATAAATGAATGAATCAATTAGTGAATGAACGGGTATATAAAGAAATAAATGGATGGGTGGATTGAATTATTAATAAATTAATAATTCCATAAATCAATAAACAAGTGACTTATTAAGTGGATAAATGAAATAATGCATGGATGGAGTATGAATTTAGAGAATGATTGATGGAATGATTAAGGAATAAAACAATTCACAGATGGATGGATGAGTCAATCTGTGAGTGACTGAGGATGAAACTATTGAGAGAAGAAATGGGCAGATTAGCCATCCATTAATAGGGCTGGTTTATTTGGGAACTATTCCAAAGCCCTCAGTCCCCTGAGGTCAGAAGCCAGCACTGCCTCTCTTATCCACACAAGACCCCTAGTTCCACTTCTGCAGCCCAAAGTGGGGTGAGAAGGTCCCTCTGGGATTGTCTGTCCCCGCCCTGCCCACCTGCGATGTGAGGGTATTTGAGCATAAGCAGAAATCCATAGCAGAGAGTGGTGCTGGTGGTCTCGGTGCCCCCCAAGAAGAGTGACAGGATGTTAAGGATGAGGTTCCGGTAGTGGAACACGGTGTCCGGGTTGGACTTCTCCTGGGTTGGGAGGGCAGGGCTTGGGTCAGGGAAGGCTGGTGCCTCACCACACGCATGTCTCTGGGTGCCCTCCACCTGTTTCTGGGCTTCTCCCACCGTCTGGCTTTGTGCAGTGTGTCCAGCAGTCTCTGTTCTTGGCTCTCTGTCTCTTTTCTCTCTGTCTTGCTCTGTTTCTATCTTTCCATCTTTTAGTGAGCTGGTCTTTGTCTCCCAACCTGTCTCCCTCTCTCTCTCCTCCATTTCCATCTCAGTTTCTCCTCTCTACCTTCTTCCTTTCATCTCCATCTTCTTTCTTTTCCGCATCTCCTCTCCTCCCCTTTGCTCTTCTCCCCTCTTCAACCTCTGTTCTTGATGTCTCCTCTCCCCACTCTCCCACTCTTTTCCTTTCCCCTCCCTTCTTACCTCCTACCTTCTCCATTTCCCCTTCCCTCCCTCCCCTTTCCTGGACCCACTTCGTCCATGTGGAGCAGGTAGGTATCAATGAAGTCCCGGGGGGCGCTGGGGTCCAGGGTTTCACGGTGCTTATCCACGCTGCGGCCGATGAAGTCCTTGACTTCCTGCAATTTTTTGTAGACTTGCCGGTGTGGGCCCGGAAAGTGCTTCAGGAAGTCCGGGAAGAGCTCGAACACCTGAGAGAAAGGAGTGACAGTGAGGTGAGGTAAGCCTTGAGCTGAGCGAGTGGGTCACAGGGAGAGGGCAGCACACCTCCGTGAGGAATCTCTCTCGCTTTCTCTAGAAAGACAGAGAGACGATATAGAGCTAGATCTCTCGTTTTCTCATCTAGTCTCTATCTTTTGACTCCAGCTGTTTGCATCTGGAGTCTGTCTCTGTTGCTTTATGTCCGTCTACACCTTTCTTTGTCTTCCATTTCTCTCTCTAGTTTTTTCTCTTCCTTACAATGCGTGTATTCTTTTATCTAAGATTGATCAATTGATCAATCCATTGATCTGAACACCTCACTCTGATTCTATGTCTCCATTGAGCTCTTATCCTCATATTTTTCTCTTTCTGCATCTTTCTACCTCACTCACGTTTGTTTTTGTGTGCCCCACCTCCCTGTCTCTCTCCTTTTCCATCTCTCTTTCTCCCTGAGCGTCTTGGTTCCATCTCTCCATGTGTCTCATTGTCTACCTCAGCCTGTGTAACTGTTATTCTCAGACATCTCCCTGCCTCTTTCCACTCTCTGCATCTCTCTTGCTGGGTCATTCACTGATGAACTGCTGCTTGCACAAGATAAGCCTGCTGACTACTTGGAACTATTTATTTATTTTGGAGCATATTTCTACTGCTTTACCTGATGATAAATGTAGCTAATAATTGCCCCAAAATGCAGAAATGTATAGAATAAGATGTACGTTTCATCCTTAATCTCTCCTTTTAGAGATAATCATTGTTAACTATTTGGTGGGTCTCCTTCCAAACCTCCCTGTCTCTCTCTTTATGTTCTCAGTGGGAGGAGCACATTGGAATCACCTATTGTGCTTGTCTCAGGTCCTCATCCTGGACCTTATCCCAGACTTGCTGGATCAGAGCCCTAGTAAGAGGTCCGGAGAACCTATATTTGTGACAATCCCGTATGTGAATCTGATATACACCCTTAGTTAAGAACTATAGCTACGCATGCTATACAGTTAAATTTTTTTTTAATGTTGTAAAAAATAGAGATAACACAAAATCTGCCAATTCAACATTTGTGGCTGGTACAGTTCACTAAAACCAATTGCACTAATCATGTTGTGCAACCATCACCAATATCAATTGCCATATTTTCCATCCCCATAAACAAAAACTCAGTGCTAGCTAAACACAGTTTAATTTTTAAAATATACAATGGGTATATATACAGGTTAGTCAATAAAGAGAAATTTTGTTATATTGTTTTAAAAGAGGAACATATTACTTTATAATCTGAGGAGGGGGGATTTTAAAAAATAACAGTAGAAAGAGGGGGAAGGGGAAATGGGAAACAAATGAAGAAATGGGAGTTTCTTATTTTCATGTATCCTTAACTTTCTTCAGGTGAGGCAAGGGCTTTGCCACAGATAGAGAGGCATAGATTCAGAGCAAGAGGAGGGTCAGATGAGTAGAGACTTTGAAAATCTGATTTAGTCTCTCTTTCTCTCTCTCTCTCATTCTTTTCTACTCTGTCAATCAAGATCTCTTTATCTCTGCCCTTCGTCTTGCTTTCTCTCTGTCTTCTCTCGTTTCCTCTTCTCTTTCTTTCAAGACCTCTGAGTTGTTGGTCTCTCTCTCTCTGATTCTGGTGACCCTTGGTGGTGCAAATGCTTAATGTGCTTGGTTACTAACAGGAAGATTGGTAGTTCAAGTCCACCTAGAGGAGCCTTAGAAGAAAAGCCTGCCAATCTACTTCTGACAAATCAGCCACTGAAAACTCCATGGAGCACAGTTATGCTCTGACACACATGGGGTTGCCATGAGTTGGAATTGACTCAACTGCAACTGTTTTGGGAGTCCCTGAGTGGTACGAATGGTTAATGAGCATGGCTGCTACCCAAAAAGTTTCAAGTTCAAGTCCACCCAGAGGTGCCTCAAAAAAAGAGTCCTGCTGACCTACTTCTGAAAAACCGTAAACTGAAAACCCTGTGGAGCACAGTTGCACTCTGACATGCATGGGGTCGCCATGAGACACTGTTGACTCCAGGGCAATTGGTTCTTTCTCTCTGACTCTACCTCTATTTCTACCTCCTCCACCACTCCCCCTTCTTTCTCTTAATCTCTCATTCCCTCCTCACAGCCTCTCCCTCTCTCTAGGCCCCCATGTCACTCTCCCTGTTGTCTCAGCCCATCTTCCAGCCTTGCACTGCATTCCTGCACCCTAAAAGCAGATCACTCCTCTCCCTGCCCTGGACGCTTGCCCCGTCCCCACTTTCCCTCATTCGCTCCCTGACCTGGCTGGAGAAGGAGCTGACAATCTCAAAGGACTGGTAGAACAAAGCCAGCAGCCGCAGGAACTGGGGATCTTTGTAGGCGAAGCGTTCTCCAATGACAATGGAGCAGATGATGTTGGCAGTGATGGACTGGAAGAAGAAGCTGGGATCCAGGAGGGCTCCTAGAAGGAGGAGAGGACAGGTCAAGGGACAGGAGTTCAGGGCCAGGGGGCGGGCGTTTGGCTGTTGCTCTGTCTCTGTGTAACTGTCCTCCACTGCTCAGGAATGATAACAATAACATCTAACACTCACTAGGTCTTATCATGCACAGGACCCTATTCTAAACACTTCACCTATTATTTTATTCTCACCACAAGCCCATGGCAAAGACTCAGCTTGTTAATATCTCCATTGTATAAATGGGCAGATAGAAAGGTTAAGTCATTTGGCAGTAGGTTGCACAGCTACTAATTGCTGGGGCCAGCATTCAGACCCAGACAACCTACACAGAATCTTTGCTGTTGGTCCTTACCTTCCATCTCCTTAGAGACCGCAGGTCTGTGAACCTCTGCCTAACTCTGTGAATAAGTGAAGTCCCAGGAGCAAAGGGTGACAAAAAGTAGGTGTTCAATTGATTGCTTGTGCAAATTAAAAAAACCTGGTCTCTCTATCCCTATCTGTCACTCCAACTTCATCTCCTTTCCCCACCTCTAGGGCACTCTGGTCTTTACTTGTCTATTGATGCCTATATTGGCCAGGTTCTGCCCATTCCTAGTTGAAGGCAGTGGTGGTGGGCTGGGAGCCTAAGACTATCCAGTTGGTGCAGACTCTCTCTGTCTAGGTCTCACCTTGTCTGTCTTCCCTCGTTTGTCTCTGTAGAACTTTTCCTGAGCCCTGTCTGTCTGTCTAATATTTTTTTTATTTTGGTAACAAAACAGTTGCCATCTCAACATTCTTCACGTGTACAGTTGAGTGACATTACCTTATGTTCATCATGTTGTTCAACTATCACCCATATCTGTTCCCAAATATTTCCATCACCCTTAACAGAACCTCAGTGTCTTCAAAGCATTGAGTTCTCCTTTCCCCTCCTTCTGCCCTCCCCTGGTGACCACTAATAAACTTTGGTCATATATACTTGTCTATTTTAGATATTTTATATAAGTGAGATCATACAGTAGTTGTCCTGTCACTTTATACCCACCAAGATGGCTATGATTAAAAACAAAACAAAGCAGAAAACAACAGGTGTTAGCAAGGATATGGAGGAATTGGAGCCCTTATCCATTGCTGATGGGACTGTAAAATGGTACAGCTGCTGTGGAAAACAGGCAATTCCTCAAAATCATTTTTTAAATTTTTTTTTTAATGTTATGTTCCTCAAAAAGCTAAACATAGAACTACCATGTCTAATTTTCTCTGTCTCAATTTCTGTCTGCCTTTCTGAGTCTCTTCCACCATCTGTTTTGGTCTCTGCTTGTATCTCTGTTTTTCTTGTTCCCTCCATCTCTGTCTCTTTCTCCTTCCCAGTCTCTCTGTCTCTGTCTCTCTGTATCCCCTGTCTTTCTGTCTCAGTCTCTCTGCTTCTATTTCTTGATTGCTCCCTTTGACTCTGCCTCTCCTGTCTGATCTCTACGTTTATGTTTCACTATCTCTGGAGAGATTATTAATAAGGAAAATGGCAAAGACTTGAAATAAATGAGATGGGGTGCACACAAAGGACTGTTAGTTGTTAGGTGACGTCGAGTCAGTTCTGACTCATAGCGACCCTACAGGACAGAGTAGAACTGCCCCATAAGGTTTCCAAGGAGTGACTGGTGGATTTGAACTGCTGACCTTTTGGTTAGCAGCAGTAGCTCTTAACCACTATGCCACTAGGGATCCACATAAATGACTATCACCTATATGTCCCAGCTAAACACCTGAGCTCCTTTGGAGAATCCAGAAACAACTGAAAGTGTTTCTTTGATGACCCAGCCACTGCTGGAGGCCAGGATACCTCAACTGGCCTATGCTCTCTGCTGGCTCATCAGCAGCTCAACCAAGGAAAGCAAAACATGGTTGGTTATTTCCAATATATCTGTAGTTTTTCCTTTTCTCTTTGCTTTCTTTTACATAAATATTATATTATACTATACTAAACCATACCATACCATATCATATTTTATACCCTGATAGTGCAAACGATTAAGCAGTTGGCTGCAGGCCAAAAGTCAGCAGTTCTACCCACCCAGCAGCTCCATGCAAGAAAGATCTGGCAATCTGCTTCCCTAAAGATTACTGCGCCGAACACCTTATGGGGCAGTTCTATTCTGTCACATGAGGTTGCTGTGAGTGGAAATTGACTCTACGGCAAATAACAACATATATTGTATTGTATTTATGCATGCACTGTTTCCCTTGAATACAAGTAAATAGTATAAGTCTTGAAGTCATTCTTTGACACCCTATAGACCCTCCCCAAATCTCTCTCTGGTTCTGTGTTTCTCTCTTACCCATCTCTGTCTGTCTCTATTCCCCTGTCTCTCTTTGTCTGTCTATCTAATAGTCTCTCGGCCTCCATCTTTCTCTATCTATTCCTCTGTTCATCTGCTCACATATACATCTCTGTCTTTCTATTGCGATGCATCCCACATCTCTCTCTGTTTCACTGTCTTTCTTCTCCACCCTTCTGTCTCTCCCAGGGCTCACCCTTGGATTTCCGCAGCTCCTCCACCAGACACTGAGCCTCCTCCTGGATCCTCTCCTCCATGCTCTGCTTTCCCATCCCAAAATCCTTCAGGGTGGACAGAGAGAATCGCCGGAGAGCCTTCCAATGATCCCCGTTGGCAAAGATGACACCTGGGGGTATGGAGAAGGCATGGGTTCCAGAGGAGTTTGAAAGGAGATGCTGCACCTTTTGTCTTCCCTTCCCAGACTCATCCTCCCCAATTCCCATCCTCCACCCCACCCCTCGGTGCCTTTGAGACTCTCACCATATCCCTGGAAGATTTGCTCAACGACAGCCACTTGCCCCCGGCCAGAGAAGGCCTCAGCTTGGTCCACTAGGGCCTCCCGCAGGGCGTCTGTGCCACACAGCATGACCACAGGCTTCAGCCCCAGGTACACCGTGAACACATCCCCGTATTTCTCTCGGAGCTGCCAAGCATACCCACACCCAGGATTGCTAATTAGTCACCGTGCATCTCTATATCCATAAAAACAAACAAACAAAGTTGCCTTAGAGTCAGTTCAGACTCACGGTGACCGAATATGTGTCAGAGTAGAACTGTGTTCCATAGGGTATTCAATGGCTGATTTTTTGGAAGTAGATCACTGGGCCTTTCTTCCAAAGCACCTCTGGGTGGATTCAAACCTCTAACCTTTCAGTTAGCAGCCAAGAATGTTAACCATTTGCAGCACCTCAAGACTCCTAAACCATGAAAGCACCACTCACATAAAGGTTGGTAATGAGTTACTGCCCCACGAAGCTCCTCCCTGGGCTCCTCTTCCCCCTTCTCAGGACCCACGAGACCTCCCCAGGTACCAGCAACTGAACAGTTGACACTTGGTGCAGCCAGGGTCTGCTGTGATTGGTTGATGCCTGAAGGAATACAGATGGTTAAGTATTTCTAATATTACCCCTGCCCATACCCTTGAGCCTGACCATATCTCCCTGGCATCACAACTAAAAAACCATCTTTTGTGTGACCCAACCTGCTATCTGCTTGCTGAGAATTTCCGCAGAGAACAACGCTGAACCACCCACTTTGTAGACAAGAGGGGAAAGTACAGCCCTCTGGTGGTGATCACGAAATATGAAAAATCCTATCAGTACAGCAGATTGGGAAACTGCTTGATTGCATTTACTGAGGCTGAAGGGACATACATGTACTCAATGATCCAACAGTTTCATTCCTAGATGCATGCCCAATGGAAATGTGTACATATGTTCACCAAAAAAGCAACAAGGACAGTCATAGAAGTCTTCTTATTAAAATGCTCTTCAACATTGAGATGGAATCAATGCATCAATAGTGATGTACTTATACAAGGGAATACTATACAGCAAACAAAAAGAACAAACTACCGCTATACACAACAACATGGATACATCTCACAGGCATAATGTTGAGTGAAAGCAGTTAGACACAAAAGAATTCATACTCCCTACTTCTCTTTATATGAAATTCAGAAACAGACAAAACTAATTTGTGATGTCAGGATAGTGTGGGGATAGTGGCTGGAAAGTGTTGTGAGTGGGCCAATCATGTTCTCTTTCTTACTCTCTGTGTCAGTCACACAGCTGTGTTCAGTTTGTGACTATTGATTGAGCAGTGCTAAGTTGACTCAGAAATCTCTCACACGGATCTCTGCATAGCGTCCACATTGGTCTCCCTGCTTCCATTCTCGTTTCCTCTATGATCATTTCACTCCCTGAAGTCAGAGTAATCCTTTTAAAATACAAATTAGTTAATATCCCTGACCTGCTCCACATGCTCCAATATTCCCAAGCACTTAAAATAGAATCTGAAATACACAACATGGAGGAGGTCTGCACAGCTTGACCGAGGGAAAGCCATAAAAGCTTCCTAGACACATCCAAATGCCTTGAGGGACCCAGTTACTGGGTGGAGGTTTATAAGAAAGTACTGTGAACAACTGTACACCAACCAATTAGATAATCGAGATGAAATGGACAAACTCCTAGACACACACTAATTACCTGAATTGACTCAAAAAGAAATCGAAATTCTCAATAGGCCTATAACAAGTGAAGAGACTGAACTAGTAATCAAAAACCTCCCAACAAAGAAAAGTCCAGGACCAGATGGCTTCACTGGGGAATTCCATCAAACATTTAAAGAAAAAAAAACCAAAAAAACCCAACTAAAGGGATGATGAGCCTAAGATTCAGGAATGTTGTCACCAAAGTAGAAGGGAAGAGAGGAGTACAGGGTAGCTGAAGTTACTGTCAGTATTGTAGCTCTCATGTGGAGTGGTGGGTCCATGGATGTTAATTACGTTACTAATAAATAAATACATGTGTAAAAATGAAATCACACGTAGAAAGCAGTGATTGGGAGCCTACTAAATACTCCAAAAGGGCCAGCTACTATTATAGTGCATTATGTTCCTTATTGATAAGCACTCCATACCCAGTCTGCCAGCAGTCCTTACCTTCCCTTTCTGTTCTCCCTCCCTCTCCCCCACTGCCCTAGCGCTGACATGAGCCTGTCTTTGGTGCCTCTTCCTTTTTTTCTCTCTCTGCAAGTGGCAAGCAGGCACCCATGGACTCTACAGAGGGAGGTAGGGAAGAGTGAAATTCTACACCCATGACTCACACCCAGACACCTCTTCATAACCATTTGCCCACTCCAAATACAATGTCTATGCACTTGCAATTGAGCAGGAAGGCTTTCTGACAAAATGACCACTATCCACCATGCTTCAGCTCCACACGCCTTACATACCAACCTTCACACGCTCCACTCATGAGCCTGGGAGAATACCCTACTCTTTCTTAGGGATCCTTGAGTGATCCCCAAGTACTGAGGCAAGGACCTGCCCACTCTCTGACCCCGTCCCTCTGGATCTCACCCTCAGGATGGATTTGAGTAGACCTCTTCTGTCCATCTGCAGAAGGTTCCCCAAATAAGGCAGAGGACGGGGGCCTGGTGGGAGGTGGCCCTGGGCCTTTGGGTGGCCCCTGGCCAGGAGAAGTAAGAGGCCTGTGAAGAGAGCCAGGAGGAAGAGGATGCTGAGCTCCATGGTCCTAGTCTGAGTGTCTTCCACCCTACTGCAGTCTCGAGCTGGGCGTTTTATCTGAACTTGCCTCCCCACCCAGTTATGTAACTCCTTTTCTTCCCACCTCCCCTTTCATCTTTGTCCAGGAGTGTGAACTTAGAATGTGGTAGGGGAGCCACACGTCCTGTTCGGCCAGCCTGGTGATCTGCTCACTCTCTCCTCCTTCACCCCTTCTCTAGATGGCAATAGCCCTGTGGCAGAGATGCCAAGGTCCACATGGAACTGTGTGTGTGTTTATTTTGGGGGAGGGTTGGGTGAGCATGCACTAGTCAACTTGGTTTTGCCTGTGTTTGTGTACTTATCCCTGCATGCACTTTTCCATGCTTATTTGTCTCTGTGTGTGCTTGTATGATTTCTATATGTGAATACCCATTGCCTTCGACTCCAGTCCAACTCATAGCAAACCCTATAAGACAGAGTAGAACTGCCCTGTAGGGTTTCCAAGGAGTGGCGGGTGGATTCAAACGCCAATCTTTTGGTAAGCAGTGGGACAGTTAACCACTGTGCCACCAGGGCTCCACCATATGTGAACAGGTGTCGATATTTATGCAAATGTGAAGGTGTGTATTTCTGTTTATGAGTCTGGGTGTGCTTGTGTGTATGCTCTTGCATGTCTATGGACTCATACGTATTTATATGACTTTAGATGGAGAGGTATGCTTGCGTTTCAGTGGTAGTGGTGGTGTGGCTTCCTGGGGCGAGTCTGTGTGTGCTTGTGTGTGTTTATGTTTTGTGTGCCTGCTTGCCTCTGTGCGCATGCTTGTATGTGCCTGCATGGTTTTATATGGGAAGGTGTGTTTGTATTTGTGTGGTGGTGGTGGTGTATGTACCTGCATGTCAGCCTCAGTGTACTTGTTGTGTTTGTGTGTGTGCACGTGTGTTTGTGAATCTCCAGGTCCCTGTCTGTACAACTTGCAAATGCTCAGCTCTATCTCCCCAATCTCCCCTCTGACAGCCACAGCCAGAGTGATGGGTAAAACCGAGGGAGGGGTGAGAGACACAGAAGTGGCGAAACAGAGATGAAGGGTCAGGTGGAAAGAGACCAAAACCTGGTAGGTCAAGTGATCAGGTACCTCTCAGTGTCTTTGATTGCTGGGGCCAGCTTTGGACAGTTCCTTCCCTGCCTCTAGCTCTGTCTTCACAATGCTAGACCGTTTCTATCACCCTCCCTCCCTATTTATGTGTGTGTCTCTCACTTGCTCTCTCTCACTGTCTCAGTGCCTGAGCTCCAGGAGTGGAGGGACTGGGTCCACTTTGCTTAACTGTCCACTAGGCTTGTGTCTGTCTCCATCATTGCTGTGACCCTGCACCTGCCCTGCCCCTGGCAGGGGCCTGTCAAGTCCATACTTGCCCAATACGTGAATAAGTGTGTCCATGTCTTCCTGCCTTGGCCTGGGCCTGGCTTTCAACCTTTATTTGTCTCTGTCCTTTAAAAGAGAGGAGGGAGGAGAAGGACAGCATTTTTCTTACAATGGAAAACAAACCCCTTGCTGAAACCAGGACCTTGACCCTGGCAGTTGAGTCACCATGTACTTCTTTGTCCCAGGAGGAGGGGACCTGGGATCCTGATCTCTGTAAGGCGTGCAGCCTACAGTTTTCCACCCTTGGAGAGGTGCCTGCCACCAAAGACTTTTCTGACCCCAGGACCTGATTCTGCTGTGCTGTGTCATCTGTGCTGAGCTTTGGACATAATTCCAGCCCTGGAATCACCAACATGGGAGGCAGGATGTGCTTTACATAGAGTAACTCGCTTACTCCCCACCCTTTAAGGTAGGAATTGCTGTCCTTCCTACTTTAGAAATGGGAGGAGTTTCTCCGTACAGGGGAAAGAAACCATAGAACATTTTCACAGTGTGTCAGCATTTTTATTAATGTCTTTCTGGATGTTTTGTTTCAGTAATCTGGTTTCTCTGTTCTTTTATCATTTCATCTTTGCTCTAGAGTAGTTGTTTATAGTATGATAAACAGAAACTCTGTACCTCTTAAGTAATACCTGCTTTATCCTCCCTTCTGCCACATGAAACTTGTTTGTATATCCCTCCTACATTAGGAGGAGAATCCACTATTCAGATCCTTGAAACAGAAGAAAGAAACCATAGTAGCAAAGAACAGAGAAACCTGGGCATACAGCATCTAATTTTTTTTTAAAAATAATATTTTATTGTATTTTGGTTGAATGTTTACACAACAGATTAGGTACCTAAATAACAGTTATTACAGAAATTGTTCAGTGACATTTATTGCCGCAGCCCCTCACACGAGGCACCATCTGTCGCAGCGGTGGCACGGTTGTCGGGACGGCGGAGACAGTAACCAAACACAACTCTTACAGAGAAGTGGGGCCAGGAGGGTCACTCTGAAGAGTCGACCCCGGCTTCAGTCCCAGGAGTTTATTTATAGTCAATACAGCAAGCAATGAAGCAAATAACAGAACAATGGGCTTTGGGTGGGCGGGCAAGGGAGAAAGAATTCAGGTAAACAAGCCAATCAGTAAAGGGACAATAGGTTTGGGAAAACAAGTTGTGACAAGTCTCAACATGTTGGGGACAAGTCTCAACATGTTGGGGACAAGTCTCAACATGCTGTGCAGCATAGAGGCTTGTGGGGGCTGCAGTTGTCAATAGTGCAGCCATGTTTAAATGGCATATATCCCCACAATTTATTACATTTTTCACAATATGTCAACATTCTCATTAATGCCATTCTGGATGTTTCATTTCCAGTAATCTGCTTTCTCTGTTCCCTTACACTTTCATCTTTGATTTAGAGTAATTGTTGACCATTTGGTCTCTGTCTTAGTTATCTAGTGCTGCTATAACAGAAATACCACAAGTGGGTGGCTATAACAAACAGAAATTTTTCTCTCACAGTTTAAGAGGTTATGAGTCTGAAATCAAGGTATGTTCTCCAAGGGAAGGCTTTCTCTCTCTGTCGGTTCTGGGGGAAGGTCCTTGTCATCTATCTTTCCCTGGTCGAGGAGGTTCTCAGCACAGGGATCAACAAAGATCAACAAAATTGACAAACCATTGGCCAGACTGACAAAAGAAAAACAGGAGAGGACACAAATAACCCAAATAAGAAATTAAATGGGGGACATTACATCAGACCCAACTGAAATAAAAAGGATCATAACAGAGTACTACAAAAAACTATACTGCAACAAATTTGAAAACCTAAAGGAAATGGACAGATTTCTAGAAACACACTACCTACCCAAACTAACACAAACTGAAGTTGAAAATCTGAACAGATCCATAACAAGAGAAGAGATTGAAAAGGTAATAAAAAAAAAACTCCCAACAACAACAAAAAAAAGCCCTGGCCCAGATGTCTTCATTGGAGAATTCTACCAAACATTCAGAGAAGAGCTTACACCAGTACTACACAAATTATTTCAGAACATAGAAAAGGAAGGGATACTCCCAAATTCATTCTATGAAGCCAGCATAACCCTGATACCAAAACCAGGCAAAGACACCACAAAAAAAGAAAATTACAGACCAACATCTCTCATGAATAGAGATG